CCCCAGTAACAAAACTATCAACAGTACAATTATTGTTATCTTAGGCAGCATCTAAGAACTACAAAATACATTAGATAGATGTAAAATCTGTATATCTTTACAGAGAACTAAATGAGGACAAACTCATTTATGTGAAACTGCTGCCAGGCAAGCTACTTACAGATATTAAACTTGGACAGGTGTTACACTTAAATAAAGCATTATACAGATTGAAACAAGCAGGTAGATGATAGTACAAGAAGATTACCAAACTACTACTTAAGATTGGATTAGAATGAGCTAATTACAATCATACTGTATTTTACAAGAAACAAAATAATAAAACGATTCTTGTAACATTTATACACATTAACAATATTACAATTATTGGCAAAACTATTACTATAATAATGGCATTTAAACATGCATTAAGACAACACGTTACATTTACTGACAGTAACAAAATACATTGGTTACTTAGTATTAAAATAGGTTAAGATAGACCTCAACAAACAATTAGCTTATAGCAAAAGCATTATATTGAAAGTATAATCAAGCATTACCACTTTGAAAACGAAAAGGCACTACAAACACCTATTACTCCTGGAATAGATCTATCTAACAATACAAACAATATGTACAATACAAACAAAAGTAATAATGAAACAATGTTATACATGAATATAGTAGGATTGTTAAGATATGTTGCAGATTGCACACAACCAGACATATCTTATATTACTGGGCAATTAGTACACTACTTACAAAAGCCCCAAACACATCACTACAAAGTAGTGAAACATTGCTTTACATATTTAAAATATACAACAAATTGCTGGCTTCAACTTGGAAGCACAAATACCTTAAAACTACAAGGCTATTGTGATGCAGACAGACGAATGACAGAAGGACATAAAGTAATAAACAGCTACATCTTTCAATTAGCTAAATCGACCATATCCTGGTCAAGCAAACAGTAAAACCTGGTACCACTATCTGTTTACAAAGCAGAGTTGCAAGCACTAGTGTATGCTACTCAAGAAGCCATTTGGCTCAAACGATTTGCTAAAGAAGTACTACAGACTGAATCAGCACCTATTACAATTTATTACAATAATCAAGGTACAATAAAGACTGTAAAGTCTGACAAAATAACATACAATGCTCATACTAAACACCTTGATTTACAAAAAGACTTTGTGCAATGTTACATTCAAAACGATTACATCAATGTATGCTATGTTCAATCACAGAACCAATTAGCAGACATCCTTACAAAAGCTCTCCATGTTCTACAGATCAAGCATTTAAACAAACTATTAGGCATACAGTCCTAGTTCTTAATTAATGCTTGAAGGGGAGTATTAGATTGTGCTCTGGATTAGGAAATCCCCAATTGCCTTATGTAGAGTTACTGTGCTTGGAATGTCTCAGACTATCAGACTTCACTATGTAGTATATAAGGCAGACACTCACTTGATGTCTCAATAAGAGAGAGTACTTGGGGCACTCCTGCTACGCTTGTTAAACAGTGGTGGGCGCAGCCTACGCAGTAGGGCAGGATGTTTCTTCAGTCGAGGCGGAAAATCCAGTAATACTGGCACCAAACGTCCCTACTTGCAAAGCAGTCCCTTTGAGAACACTTCCGAGTCTGACCTACCAAGACGAAAGATATGGAGATCGAACTTTACGGATGTAAACAAAACTAATCATATAGTGAGTTTTCTTTCTCCTTGCTTGACACGGGTCTGACTATGTATAGATAATTCGTGGGTGTGCCAGCTTGGAGGGGAGTCTCTCTAAATCAGCCGAATTCGAACTTGAGCCAGGAGTGGAATTCCCACTTTTTCCAACGTCTGAAGTACCTATCCTTCAAGTAGAGGGATCTAGCTTGAGAGGTGCAACTGGTCTTGTCTGCAAAGCGAAACTAATGAACCCCGACATTTCCCGTGGCACTGAAAGCAAATATTTCGCAGTCAAACTCGTCGATTCCGCGTCGCGATCAACAGTCGAGTACAGGAATTTTGTCATGGACGTGTATAACGAATATGTGAATTATTGCATCTTTGAGCTTGGCAAGCAGTTTCCAGCTGTACGAGGCGTTATAGAGCGATGCACTGCTACTTGCTTCGGACTATATAGGCTCGGGGATTATGGGCCAAATTCACTACCGAAGTTTGCATTGATCACAGAGCATGTGGGCGAAGAAATTGAAGAATCCTGGGAGGAGTTAGGGGATTCTACTAAGTGTGTCTACCAATTGCTTCATTGTACATGTGGGTTTGGGGGATTTTGACATCATTTACAGACGTGCAGTGCTGAATAACCTCATATGCCTCCATGCGTTGGGTTTTTGCCACAACGATGCCGACGAGCGAAACGTTGTCTATGATAGCAGGTCGGACACATATAAGTTCATTGACTTATGTACAGGCGGATGGCACGAGTTTCTAAGGTCTGGAGACGTAGAGAATTGTCGTGGCATACGAAAGTGCAGCGAGCTGAAGATTATGTGGCATACATTCAACCCTTCTGACAAGGATGCTTCGCAAGACTTTGAAGAGGAGGTTCTATGTGAGCACAACCTGCGGTTCCGCAATCTTCGAAAGCGCCTGGAGAGAGAGGGCATCCTAGACATGCACAAGCTTGCACCGGATGTGAAGAAACTGGCAGACAGAATAGAGTCTGATTGTTAGCAGTGTATAAATATTTAAGTACTATATGTATCTAGTTGGACAAGGCCATTCCTATGATCCGTCCAGTCACTATCGCTTCCCTTTTTGAATATGTTATCAGAGGATGAAAACTCATAACAGTATTTACTACATTACACCAATTTCCCATGAAATTCTACTACGCATTTCACCTTTGGCCTTGTCTTAAGAGTAACAACCACTATTAGAGTGAACGATAAATAGTTGAATCTACACAGGTACAGACACAGCAGTGAGTGTGTACACAAGAAGATAAAGGACAAGAAATGAGGACGACGTGGAAGTACACAAGATACTAAGTACTCGGACTGGGAAGGAATAGATATAAACGAACAATTTAAGACCCAAGAGATATAGATTATGTCGTAGTTGCGTGGGTCCGTGGGTGGCTCGCGAACGACGACGAACCAAAATCCAACAAAGCAAACCTCATTTCCCCGCACCCCTGTTCTTCTAACTTGACGCAATCAACTGAATACTCTCCATTGCCACACACAATCAATACTTCTTTCCATTAATCCCCGCACCCGCCAGCTCCCTCTCCAAATCCGCACCAGGGTCGTCCATAATCGGGCTACTCGGTCTTCCTCCCACAGCAGCGCCTGTGAAGTTTGATGTGGCACCGTTGGGAGGGGCGTATTCGCGTACGGGTGAGTTCATAATTTCTTCGCGGGTTGGGATGGGTAGGCTAATTCAGTAGGTTAGATGTCAATATTTTGTTTGAGATAAGAGGAGGTAGGTAAGGGAGAAGGGGGAGGCAGGGACGAGACGAGACGAACCTTTCTTGTCTACGCATCTGACCTGCGGCGCGCGCTTGGGAACGTACAAGCGCACGGAAAGTGTTAACTTCTTCGACGATGAGGCGTTTCATCCCTTCGATCGAGTCTTCTTCCTCGAAACTAAAGTCGAATTTCTGTATGTATCACCAAGATAACCAAAATAGCCAAAAATTACACCAATCAATCAATCAATCAGTCAGTCAGTCAGTCTCTCACTTCCGCAAAGAGAGAGAAAGGAGAAGAAAGGATGCACCTTCTCGCAAACAGGTTCATCCGTCGGATCATGCCATACAGCCAAATACGGATGCGCAAGCGCCTGTTCGCAGCTAATCCGCTTCGCAGGGTCGAATGTCAGCATCTTACTGAGCAAATCCAACGCGAGTGGATTGGCGTGTGGGTAGAGCGTAGTGAACGGGATGCGCGGCTTGATGGGTAGAGAACGAATGTAATCTTGTGCACGTGGGGAGCCGACACGGCGCAGAGTGTCTTCGGAGGGCGTGCCGAGGTAGTGGAGAATTTGGTTTAGTTGGTCGACATAGCTAAAGTTGGGTAGGTTGATGGATAGATGGATAGATGGGTGATGGGTGATGGAGATAGTCAGTTAGAAATGGAAGATGTCGAATCAGAGGGAAGACATACTCTCGTCCTTTGAAGATAGGTTTACCGCCGAGCAGCTCGGCGAGGATGCACCCAACTGACCAAACGTCAATTGCCGTTGTCTACATCAAAAATCGAAATCATTAACGATCACAAATCAAAAGAGTCAAAACGCGAAAACAGGAAGGCAGTCTCACATAATTAGCGAAACTTAGCATGATCTCGGGAGCACGGTACCACCGAGTAGCGACATATTCGGTCATGAACCCTTGGTTCGGAGCGCCTCTAACAGCGTTGGCACCTCCACCGGGTGTGTATCCTCTTGCAAGACCAAAGTCACAGATCTTGAGCTCGCAATCCGCGTTGACGAGGAGGTTGCCTGGTTTGAGGTCGCGATGAAGTACGTTGGCGGAGTGGATGTACTTAAGACCGCAGAGGGTCTGGTAGAGGAAGGATTGGAAGTGTGCGTCCGATAGGGGTTGACCTGACCGGACGATTGCGTGTAAGTCGGCTTCCATGAGCTCTTCCTGGTGAGCGAAAGTACAATCAGCTATGATGATTGCGCATATAGTCGATGAAATACGCACGTAGAGATAGACCTCGTCGAAGTTGCCATTGGGCTGGAAGACGATGTCCATGTCATAGAGACATGTTATCTACCGTCAATTCATTAGCCTGTCTCGCATCAGTATGAAACACATAAAGTTGTGCATACGTTCTTGTGTCCTCGGAAATGGTGCAATAACCTGGCCAAACCGTCAATATACACAGCTCGTCGGAAAACCGACAAGCCCGGACGACGAACCTGATTTCACGCAGACACCTCTTCGTCAGGATCCGCTGTTAACTCCCCATCAGCAACAACACGACAAATAAATGGCCGAAGTCGACAACATGATGACGATGATGCTATCTATCTATCGACCTCAGCTGCTGGACGAACCTTTGTGTTTATGTTGGTGATTTTCTTGATCGCGCACCCTTCCCCCGAGCGGCGGTGTCGGGCTGCGACAACGCAGCCATAGGCGCCCTGGCCGAGCTCCTTGACGAACTCGTACTCTGCATCGACGATGAAGGTTGAGTTGAGTGCGGTGAACTGATGTCGCTGCATATTGCTCGCTGTATGCGCACTACTCTTGTTGCGAGAAAGGAGGGGGAGATTTGTGGTGATGGTCGTGGTGGAAGGAGACGAGCGCTGTGCTGTCTGCGTTTCAGTAGTCTGACTCTGAGCTGGATCGATGGATGGGGTTACTAGTCTGGTGATCCTCTTGATCTCGCTGATATGCGCTCTCCTCAAAGTAATCAAGAAATTCCAGTGCAGACCTCAGAGCGCTCACTGATATTTGCTTGTAGAAAAACACCAGGACTACTACTGAGAGAAATAAATGGAAAATAAATTCATGAATATCGGTTTATACAGACGTATCGCACGTGACTTGGCATACATCCTCACTAGCACATGGGGCATTTCACAATTTCTTGCCTTAAGAAATAACTTACATAATGATAAACATTATTTGTAATTTAGTTTACCATTTTTGGTTGGCAGAAACTCTGAACAGAATTTAAAATTTTCATTATACAAAAACTAGAAATTAAATTTAACATTTCCCTATTTGTAAAATCTTTAAATAAATGGAGAAAATAATTTAAAACATAATTTAAAGTTTTTCCTATAGTAAAATTATAAATTTTACTTTCTAGATTTAGTTGTACAAGAAAAATTTAGTAAA